AGGCCACTCAAACAAACAACAGCAATGTGTTGATAGCACCAGTGTTTACAGTTTTTGGTTGGAAGTTGGAAGTCCACCACTATTGCCAAATTGTTACTTGTTCTTTCAGTTTAAACAAGATCAGCATATGTCCCATTTACTCTTAAGCTGAGTTTAGACAACCAGAGGCAATTTACTGTCAAGGGAAAAAAATAATCAACAAAAAAAGACTGCTGGGGGGCAAGAGCATCAGACACAAATGGAGACTTGAGTACATGTGAAACAAAGGATTAGAATATGAATTATTATATGAATAACATGCACACTAATCTAAGGTTGAAAGGCGCATTTATGTTGTAAATCAAAGCTGCAGTGTATAAAACTATATTATGTGCCTGAGGAGGCTGGAATGATTGTTAATGGCTGCTGATATATCTTCACTGCTTTGGAGAAATGCCAAAACGCTATTACGTTACCTCCTGTATTTGCGGAGTCGCTGTCCAAAGACAGAAAACATCCTGTCATACACTGATGTGGTAATTTCAGGTTTGTGGATGTTGTTCTGTTTTTGTTGGTCTAATCTCTTAGAAAATACCTCAGATTTATTTGACATGCAAATACTGTAGTTTAGACCCAACTACACTAGGTGCACTACAACGACAATAGCAAGCCACACCTGGCACTTCTTGCATTAAGAAACATTTATGTTTTTATTCCTGACAAGCAGATAACTGCGTGTGGTTGGTAAATGACAGATCTTTCCATGGCTGTATTTTCAGCCTGTGTAATAAGGAGCTACAAATAGCAAGAGGCAAACTTAGGCCAACCATTTTCAATGGTGCAAGCCTGGAGAAGAGCAACAGCCTGAGATGACATTGCTCTATGCATTGATAGTACAACCTCTATACTGGCAGATCACACATGCCAAAATAAAGCAAAAGCTGGCATTCACTTATAAAACGCAGCATCTCAGCATTTTGGACTGGGTTGGGATTTGTAGACTAGAATTTGAGAACATTTGTAGGGATGTAAATCTACTCTCACTCCATTCACAAATGCATAAAACAGATACTCTGTTGTATTTTTGGCTGATCTTTGTTTCTAACGGTTAGCGCTGGCAGGTTTCATAATATGAACAAGAGCCGAGCTAAATTTGGCACACTCTGAATGATATGCTATCATCACTATCTGAATGTGAGATCCAGAGCAAAACAGCTCACAGGCACAAAACACTGAACATATTGGAGCAAGTCATTAACCAAACAGAATTCAGCATCCAATTTTTAGGGTACAGAGAAGAAATGAGCTGAACTGGTCTTGTTTAAAATACATATTTGGGTCAGATCAGGTGGATTCTATTACATAAGCGTGCTTTGAAGTCTGCCAAGACTGGCTGACACTTCTCTCAGGTCTCTCAGCTCAAGTGTAATGTTGCAGAGAGGGCTGTCTGACAACACAACAGAGCTACATATTATTCACCAGTGAAGTAAAATATTATTTTGCCAGATTTGAGTGAAAATGACTTTTAGAGGTCAGATAATGTCAGATTCTCTTCACTGTCAAGCCATGAGCACAATTCCTATTTATTTCTATAATAAGTATTCAGTTTATGGAGGCACAGTGACAGGGTAATACTGAATCAAAATATGATTGTGAATTGAAAATATGAAGAGAAAGTTCACCCAAAAATGAAAATTCTGTCTACCATTTCAATTCACATTTATTTGTATAGCGCTTTTCACAATATTGTTTCAAAGCAGCTTTACAGAAAATGCATGTTTCAAACCCTAACCCTTACACTAAGGCGATAATATGACTAATTTAGTCCAAACATCATATCATGGAATAGGTTTGTGGACCTTTTTATGTTGTTGTTTTTGTCGTCATCTTAACAGCCTCTGTAGCTCTTCACTTTCATTGTATGGAAAAGTACAGCACAGACAATCCATGATTTAACTAATTTTGTGTTTTACAAAAGAAAATAACAATAATGAGAGGGTGCAAATTACAGAATTTACATTTTTGTGTGAACTATGAACTTTTTGGGAAACATTTTTCAATCCTGATTTGGTAACACTGAGGTTCTCGATCTAAAAATAAATAAGAGCTAAACTATTTATGGCAATAAATAAAATATATCTGCAAGCCATATCAATCTGTACCTGAAAATCAAAACAATAGATGTTTTGTGTCAAAAATCAAAAGTGAAATTTTGTGGACCAACAAGTTTGCTAATGTAAAAAAAGAGAAAAAACTGCTGTCTAAAGTTATTAAAAACATATCAGATCAAAAAATAAAACAAATCAGTGGCAGTGTTGTGTTTTGCATGTTTTGATGGATTATTACAACCTCTTCACACTATGATTCCCTTCAATAACATAAAGACTGACAGTCAATGACGCAAATTTGCATGCATAAAAAAAGTAAAAACAGAAACCTAATAATATCTCATGTTTCATGACAGATAGATCCTTCTTCTTATGCTTCTTAAATTATATTGCTCTTAATTGTTAGAGCGGTTTTCGAAAAAAAAAAATCGTTTTTGGCACTTATGAGCCATTTTATATATATAAAAAATCATATACATAAATGGTTTCTTCGATATTTTGGAACATAAACAACCTTTTGAAACAAAGGACTTATTAATCATTGATACCATTAAACAATAATAACAACATGTGTAACATTTCCTGTGGGGTCTATTTCATTTTTGATATAATATGGACTTGTGAGGTATGCATAATTTAAATGGGTAAAATTAAAAAGAAAAAAGAAAATTGTAGCCAAAATACAAGTACTTCCCCTTAAATCTGAAAATCTAAGACAGAGCTCTTTCCAGACCAATCAGTTAGACATTTTTTTTTTTTTTTTTTTTTTATTCTTAACCAAAATGTTACCGGTAACACTGGTACGATTCCATTATGCCGTTCTGAAAACAGATCAGCATCAGAGTAACAGGTCAGATGATCTTTAACCAGTCCCTGTCCTGTGCGCAAGCTCAAATGACAGCTGTCACCTAAAAAGGTCTTCGTAAACAAGTCTGATTTTTAAGTGTGTCATAACGTTACATACTGTTTCTTACCTAAATATTTTGTCCTGACCGCAAATGGATCTGTGCATCCAATGGTGCGTTTTCTTACATCCCAAATGAGGTTGCCAGAGCAGGACATGTTGTTTAAACCTCTAACGTTGAGACATGCATGGATGAAAAGGGGAGAGCAGACGCTTTTCTCTGTGTTTGTCTTCCTTCCGTGTCGTTTGATTATTATTGTTTCCCTGCACAAAGCCTAATAGTCGGTCATATAAGTTCATCGACAACTGATACTGGATGAATGAGAGAATATTACTCCTCGATATCGACACCCCCGCGGCGATCCGTTTCCGACACTACGTCCATGATTGTTTTAAGGTGTAGTAAAAATATTGTGCTTCTTGTTTGGCTATCCGCTTTAGCCTCTGCTGCTCTGGTACGTCAAATCCATCTCGAGCCCAAAGCCAATGAAGGGAGAGAGGCGCAGTATGTTGACTGTAATGAGCGGCTCGCTCTCGAGAGCGTCAAGTGTGCGCAGAAGTTACGCCGAATCGCTGACTGGATAAATCTGGTATTTGTATACACTAAAATATATATTTAAAAATGGGATAAGTCTGTTAGTTCATGAGATTGTGTAACTGGCATACAAATGAAAACTCGACATAGAACTGTCTTTATTGTTTTTCTGTTGTGTTTTTCAATTTTAAAAAAGGTGAATAGTGATTGGTTCATAGCCTACTTAAAAGCGTTGAGAAAAGTAACATGTACCATTTTTTTTTCTTAAAAACAAAACAATACACAAACAAGAACACAAGAAAAAGAAAAGAGAGAGAGAAAAAGAGGGATTTAAAAACGCTACAATAGCCTGGAAGAAAATAATGACATATTAATGATTTTTTTTTTATTGTCATTGAATTGGAAATATAGTGGAGTTTAAAATAGGATAAATATTTAGACTAAACTAATTTCGATGCAAAATAGACAAAAACACGTAATGCAATTACAAATGCAATGCAATATATTCCCATGCACTGTATTATATTAAACAAATCAACCCAATCAATTAATCAATAAATGTTTGTTAAATTAATTTCGAAACACGCTCATGGCTACCCTCTTCACTACAAAGGATAGATACTGTGAAGGATTCTTTTTGTAAAAAAAATTTGTATGAATTGCATGGGGATTTTTAACTTCCACTCCCAGTAGGCCTATTCCACATTCAATTTCGTGGAATATTTATATTCTAAACATCTTTGACGACTTCTGGCTATATTTGGACTTCTTGGAATTGTATTAAGCTTGGTCTTTTTAGGTTTGCTTGAATCTTGTATGTTTTTCAAGCAATAATAATAAAAAACAAAATAAAATCAAATGTTACCTTCTGAATCCTATTAAACAGACAGTTCTACCTTTCTTAAGCATCTCATTAATGTATTATTCTGATTATTCAGTCCATTATGCAGCAGTGTTTTAAATGTAAGATTTCCTATCCACATTTCTCATTCTTCCAACAGAAATACCCTTTCGTTTTCATAAGCAGTACAACATATTAGTACATACTCTAAAGTTTCTGCTGGTCCACATGAACTACGATTAGACAGATTCATGTTTGTTCATTCCATATAGGAAATCATTTAGAGCCGTGTGCCCAGGGCGAACCAAAATTCCCTTTCAACCCCCTACTTCATTTTAAATAATAAAGATGTCTTCCTCTTTCCTCCACATTCGAAATTTCTTGCCATTTCCCTTTTATAGCTGTTCTGATTTTGACCTTAACTTCTGTATTTAGTGGGAAAATCATTTCTATATGTGATACGTTCAGCGCCTGCTTTGCTAAATAATCAACTTCCTTATTATTAGAGCGCTGACTTCTCAAAGGTCCCGCCTTTTGAGGGCGTACGAACGCCTTCCAGCCAATGATACAAAGAGGCTTGACCATGTCAACCAATCCTATACCACAGTACGTCATGACGCAATTAGCTTTGCGACGCGTCCCCACTGACACTTCACAACGACAACATACCAGTAAACTGCATTAGCAAGGTCGAGAGTAGGACAATAACGTAGACTTTGTACTTTATGCTGGTCCAAAGGTCCTGTTTTCTTGACTACGGGCTCTTGCCTTTTGGAAACACCACGGTTCAATAGCATTAGAGTGTTCTGCACGTCCTAAGCTGTATTTTCGTGCGTGCACTAGTGGTAGCATTTAGCTTGTTTAGAAGTCATCATGGCTATGGGTGGGCTGAGAGCTTCTTACCACAGAATCCTGGGCAGGATCGAGCATATGCTGCCGGCTAAACTGAGACCTGTTTATAACCACCCCGCAGGTAACACAAATGCTGTTAGTGTGACTTTTTTTGTCACTGACACGGATCCTGTTAACTTCTTGAAGTGGCGGCATACACTGATGTGTGTCACCGTCATGACGGTGCAGCCATAGAGACTGCTGCCTGAGCAGGTATTTTGTGTTATTGGTAAAAAAGAAACAGTAACTCCGATATTTAAAATAAATGTAATAATGAGCTTGGTACACGAATAGAACAGAACTAATCTCCTTTGAATAAGATGTAGCTTAGAATATAATATATTCTTAGATATAGAAAATGTTGATTATATTAGGAAGGTGTTAGACGTGTATCTATATGGTAATGGGAACTAGCCTGGCATGCCAGACCTACATCAAGATTCACACTGGCTGCGAAATAATTTTCCCTGCCGCCAGGGTGCGTCTAGATTTCTAGGCTAAATGGGAACTGTATAATATGTAGAATTATCTTTTTTCCTGCATGGAACCGTGGTGCATTGCATATGAGTGTTTTTGACACTTTCAATGATACTGTATTTGTGCAAATTGCCCTTTACAGACAGATATCATTCTCAGTAATATATTTGTTACTGATTAACTCAATATATTTTCTGCTAAAATAACCTCACATGATTTTTCTTTAGAGAGTCAGTGTGTTTATAGTTCTACTATTTTTTGGTGGTAGAATAAATAGAGATCAAATTACATGCGTGTTGATAAACAGAGGTTGACTGACAAGAAATGAACTAAAAAAAGATTAAACAAAAGAACTGTGATGGCATATAAGCACAGCAGATTTTGACCTTAGCTTCACCTTTGCCAGAGGGAGGGGGTCATATTAAGCGCTATAGATGACTGATTTTTTATTAAATGATATTGCTTTTTTTTTTATGCAGATTGTTTTCTCAATGTTCTGAAACAAATCTGTTGTATTATATAGATCACTGATGGCACAAACTCCAATGTAAGCTGATTAATGCATTTTAGTCTCACTGATTGTTCAAATATGCAGTGTTTACAGATAATAGTCCATAATTGTATCATCAGCCATTGTACATTGTATTTCTTATTGAAAATCAATTTAAGTTCACAACACAGAGCCACAGGGATGCAGGTTTGAGTCTGTGTCCTGATCCCAATCCCCCTGTCCCTTCCTCCACGCACTTTCCTGTCATGTAAATAAAACAAATAAAAAAAACATCTGTTTATATTTACCTTTATGTTTTGGAAGGATAATGGGTAATGAAAAAAAAGTGCCAGTATGCAAAGTATTGGTTCGTGTTTTTTTTTTATGTTGAAACGCATTTGAAACCTGTCACAATTACACACATTTTTTTTTAACATTTTACCTGTGAACCATGAGTTTAACTGAATTGATTAATTGATTTGCTCTTTGTTTAGGTCCAAAGACTGTGTTTTTCTGGGCACCAATGTTTAAATGGGTAAGATAAACAACATACAGTGTCTGAATGTTCTTTGTATATATTTTTGTATATATATATATATATATATATAAATTCTTCTTTTTATTTCTCACTTATTTGTGATCTCACATAGGGTCTGGTCTTAGCTGGCTTAGCAGACATGGCACGTCCAGCAGATAAACTCAGTACCTCCCAATCTGCTGTGCTGACAGCCACAGGTATATATCACAACTCTTTTAAAAAAAATTGGACATTTAGAAGTTCCAAATCTCGTTCACTCTATGTTTTTCAGGTCTTATTTGGTCCAGGTATTCCCTGGTTATTATACCCAAGAACTGGAATCTATTTGCTGTAAACTTCTTTGTTGGAGGTGCAGGAGGATCACAGCTCTACAGAATATGGCAGTGAGTACATTCATTCACCTATAGAATATATTCAGGAGGAGTGTGCGATGTAAAATCACATAAATGGAATGATTTTAGACTATTTTTCAACTATTTTAGACTGTCTTGCATAGTAGCCATCTGATGTATGTCATGTCATTCACAACAGCTACATGTGAACCAGTTCTGGATCAGTCGATGGCTGTGACAGATCAACAGAGGGAAACTTAAACATCAGCTATGTAGATGTATATAATAAAAAAAGCTTATAAAAGGAATCAACTGTACGGTCTAATTTAATGTCTGACAATACCTAAAATGGGTCAAAATGGTAATTTAAAGGGGTTATAGAATTTTTCCTCCCTTGAGGTGTACTTGTTTTTCCCCCCACCCAAACACTTATAATTTAATTTGTTAGGCCACTTTAAATTAAATGGGATGCTTTGTTGCTTTTGTGTCTTTAAAAAAACAAACATTCTTTTCTAAAACTCTTCCCACATTTTATCAGCTGTGAACTCAAAGCTTGTTTTTTGGTTATCTACACTTTATCAAGATTTTCATTAGTAGCAATAAAGCAGACAGGGTCTTCCAGCATATTGCGCAATTTGGGTGTGTGACTAAGTGTGGGGGATTTTCAATATATGTCCTCTTTAATCCCCACAGGCATAACAGGGAACAGAAGGAAAAGGATAAAGAAGCACAGGCTTGATAGCAGTGCTGTGTAAAGTGCACCCAGAGGACCGAAAGGGACTCTCCTTAACTGGTACCCCAGAAACTTCCCCTCCATCATCAGTCATCCAGTAGAGCCTCCAGACACTTTCTTCATGAACCGAGATCATCTGATTTTTTTTAAAGTTCAGGTCATTGTCCTGTGCCACTAGTACATATAGCAACAATTATTACGGTTGTTAAAATCGCACAAAATGTTACATATTCATATTAGTATAATTGTGCATTCTTTAAAATGCTTGTGTTTGAAATGCATCTTGATAAAGGTGCTTTCCATCCAATGCACTTGAGTTCTTACTATTGAGTGAATTTCTTCACTCAGCCTCTGTCATACTATTAACGGAATGTCTCCAAATACATTTTAGAAAAGTCTTTCATTATTTGTATTTCTTAGGAAATATTTATTAAACAGCTGTAATTTTTTTAATGTCATATTCGTAACATGAAATAATTTGTCAAAACCCATACATTACGAAATATAAACTGAACTGTATTGTAATATTGGAAATTTTTAATTCACATCAAAATAAAGTAATTCAGATTTACTAAAAGCGTCTTGCTCTTACAATCTAGTGTGCTGTTACATCATGGTCACATGTGCATTAATCTCTCTAGTCATTCACCTGTCTTGCATTATAAAAAAAGTTTTTAAGTTACTCATCATTATTGGCAACAAATAAGAAGTATCAGAATATCATACTAATTAATTCGGCTCATATTACGCAAATTTTGTGTATGCTTGAAATACAAGATTCTACTACATTTTGCCAGAATATGCATTAACCCAAGCACATAAATCCCACAATACACGCACAGGTTGTCCATTTCATTTATCTTTTTTTTTAATAAAACGATTTCCTGGATGATAATTAAACACCACTTCCGAATTAAAGATGTCACATTTGACAACAGTCTTGCATATTACTATTTGAAATGTTTGCTGTTTCACATTATGTAAAAAGTTAAATAAAAGGGAGTAGGCTATATCTTTTTGTGAGAGTACACTGCTGACCCCATGTGGTAGCCTACTAACTGCATTGTGCTTTATGCTCAGTGGAATGAGAATGAGACGGAGAGACGTCAATGGAAATGCAGATTTTGTGATCTACATCCACATAGTAAAACAATGCCTTGCTTACATTTTGTTTGCAGGTACATAACATTGCTTTAAAACAATACACTATATTTATCGCTAGTTTTAATGCCCGTGGTCATCATACAAAACTCAGCCCCCTAGAACTCTAGTAAAATAATTATTCCTATACCATTTGGGACAGCCATTTATTGTGCTGTCCGAAAGCATAGTGGACGTTATCGAGTGCACTCATTCAATACCGAGTGTAGGCTACAACCGATGTACGCTCAACGGCTGCCCGAATTCACTCACTCCTTTTCATTCACTCCTTCAAATGAACAGTATTAGTGGACTAACGTAAGGAATAGTGAATGAGGGTTTAGGGGGCGATTTCGGATTATTTTTCTTCTTTTTTATTGCAATAACAATAGAGGAATACAGAGTCATACAAAACACTTGAATCTATAAAAAATTAAGATCACAATTATGCATTTTGTAAAAAAAAAAAAAAAAAAAAAATCATACATCTAATACATCAAGTATCATTTTCAACAGCTGAGATGTCTTAACAGCTTTACGATTGTTCTGTATTGGAGTAAGAGAGTCGTAAAAAAACGTCAAGTCAGTGGAAAATAGTCTACCATTTGGTCCAGTTAACATACATTTAGTAGGCAGCAGGCTATAAGATATTTCCCAAATAAAATTTTATTTTTTAGTTATATCCATTTCCAATAAACCGACATCACAATCCATAAACAAGACCATTATATCAGTTAGTGATAAATTTGTAAAACACATCAAAAATAAACATAGAAACTTTGGACCAAAATAATTTGGTATAATTACAACTAAAAAATAAATGTACAATTGTTTCTGTTGCCTCTTTACAAAAACAGCATAATGGAGAACCTCCTTCTTTAAACTTACTGATAAAATCATCACATGGATAATATCTGTTTATTATTTTAAAGTGGGTTTCTTTGACTTTATTAGGAATTACATATTTATTCATATGTGACCACAGATTCTGAAAAAAGGTAATGAAAATCCTGTTTCCATTTCACCAATGCCTTAGGTGAAACACTTTTTTCTTTAGTTAAGATTGTCTAATATACATTTTTATTATTATTTTTTTGTCCCTAATAAAAAAGCGACCAACAGTGTGAGCCAGAATATAACCAAAGGATTATACATCTTTTCAATTTTGATTTTCGGGGAAATACAGTGAATTATTTAAAAATATTGCGATTTCGGATTCAGCCAACAATATCTGGATTGGCGCCTAGTATGAATGTCATCAAGGAGACGTCAGCGCATTCGACCAATCAGAGACATCTATAGAGGCAAGAGTTCCTGCAGTGCAGAACATTATCATTATCATTAATAAAGTTGTTTTTACATTTTCATTGAAACTACATTCTTTATAATTACCGAACAACAATATATTGTTTTTGGTCTTGGTCAGTAAAGTAAAATAAAAATAAATCCCATCAACAGTTCATCTCTGGATTGGCGCATGCACAATTGCGAAACAAAAGGACGAATTTGGGATTAAATTGCAAATTTGTCATATTTGGATTGCTGTCCAATCAAACCGGGACGTTTTAGTAGGCTACGGAGCAGCCTCAATGACGTATGCAGCAGTCGACAAATGCTGCTACCTTATGGAGGTAAAACATTATGACCGCGTCCTTTGATGCAACGTAAAAAAAATGTCAAATGATTTCTCATTATTTCCTATTGAAGCGCAATATGGGACCACACGAAATCATATGACCATTATCTGTTTCCGTTTTTTCGTGTTTACAACTAGGCGGAAACGATGATGCGATGCGTGCTTTGAGTGTTAGCAAACGCTTCTCGAGTCTCAACTCTCGATGCGCAGCCACTGCTGGCTGTCCTCTGATCTAATCTGCTTCAGTGACTCGGTAATTTCGTTCATTTTTGACTGACTGTTGGTCATGATGTTGGGTTCATAATGGATGAAACAAAGCAGTCAGCATCAGCAGCACGTCAGGACTGTAGCATAAGGGCAGTAGGTGAGTTAATGATTGATGCTACATTCGTTCACAGCCTCGAGAATATGCAGTTACATGAATTCTCAATCTTTACGTCATTGTATGTATGCTTTAACATTCGCGGCATCTGCATCTGCATCCGCTCATGCACCAAAATAAAGTTGTTTTGATATTCGGCGTTTCAGACAGACTTTAAAACCTAACTTGTGTGGAAAAATGGGTTTGTTTCGCAATGCACTAGAATATTTATACATAAAATTTAGTTTATACATTACCAGTAAAATTGCACTGTTCTCTGTACCATTGCAAAATAATTTTATCTTTATGTTTTTCATATCTGATCATATTTCATATATATTCATATTGAAATGAGCATTTGCATGTAGCCTGCAAATATTGTACCGTTAAGTAAACATTGCATTAAAAGTTAAAGTGAAAATAGTAATCAAATGAAAAGCAAAGAAACAGCACATTTTCTGACATCCCTGCATTCCAAATATAGTTTGAAAGTAGGCTAATAGATTGTATATTAAATTAATGATTTAAAGGGTTAGTTCACCCAAAAATGAAAATTATTTCATTAATGACTCACCCTCATGTCGTTCCAAGCCCGTAAGACCTCCGTTCATCTTCGGAACACAGTTTAAGATATTTTAGATTTAGTCCGAGAGCTTTCTGTCCCTCCATTGAAAATGTTGTGCAGAAAGGAAATAAAGACATCATCAAAGTAGTCCATGTGACATCAGTGGGTTAGTTAGTATGTTTTGAAGCATCGAAAATACATTTTGGTCCAGAAATAACAAAAACTATGACTTTATTCAGCATTGTATTCTCTTCCGGTTCTGTTGTCAATCCGCGTTCAGTGACGCTGGTGACGTAAAACGCTGCTGACGTGTAATCTGGTGCGCCCGAGCTTCGTTTACAGTCTGAGGGAGACGCACGCTGTAAACAAAACAATGTTCGCAGGATTTCGACACAGAGGAAGACTTGCATTTTTTTGCCCAGCCATATTTATTTGAACCCTGAATACACGGACGCACCAGAACACGTCAGCAGCGTCTTACATCACCAGCGTCACTGCGGACTCGTGAACGCGGATTGACAACAGAACCGGAAGACAATACAATGCTGAATAAAGTCGTAGTTTTTGTTATTTTTGGACCAAAATGTATTTTCGTGATTAATAATATAATCACATTATGTTTTGTATTTTGTTTGGTTTAATAATTAACATTACATTTGTGAGTATGACTCTCACTCGGCTTGTGAATTAGCAGAACTTGCACGCAGCCACTTCAAAACTGTTTACAAAGCTTCAATGGATGTGATTTTGGTTGTCATTTGTTGAAATAAATACAAAAAATAGTGTGTCGGTGTCTGTCCGCTAAACGTGACCCTCTTCGTGGCCATATGGGAAAGTGAATAATACAAAGACAACAATAAAACTTCACTTACAGTTCACTTTTCCAAAAAAAAGAAATGGATCGACTTCTGTCAACTTGTTGAACACATTTTTTTATTTGGACCTTTCTACCATATGATGGCTGAAGCTTACGAAAATTAACCGTGGTTTTATTATGGTGTGTAGCAGTGGCGAGCGGTGACTTTGGTATACTGGGTGATGCTTAATCTCGTGAGTCGTGACACATGGCAACACAGCTAAAAGTTTCCTATATTTGACCATTTAAAGCTCCAGTCCGTAACTTTTTTGGGGTTAAAAATTATCCAAAATAAATTTGAGCAAGTACATAACCAGCCAGTGTTCAAAACTATCTGCTTGCCTTAGCTCGATTCAAAATGGTAAGCTTGTAATAATGTTTTTAATCCCAGTGGTACTGGTGGATTTCTGTGGGAGATTCGAGCATGTCTTTGCGTCATTACGTCACATCTGTACACATAAAGGAGTCTCGGCTAGTATAAGCTATATTGCGAGTGAGGATGTTGGAGGTGGAGATTTATAGCCTTTTCTCACAGCACTTGATATAATTAAACTTATCAATTTGATGCCGGATCCAGAAAGGTTCAAACGACG